TTATTAAGGATTGTAAACCTTCTTGTGTACCAAATCCTTGTCAGAATAAGGCTATCTGTAAAGAACTGTGGTCCAGCTATGAATGTATTTGCAAGAATCCGTGGGCACATTTAGGAAACCATTGTGAAGAAAGTAAGTAGGTTGATATCAATAATCATTGTAACTAAGATAAGTGAAATATTGAAAATAAAAATTAAATTTAACATTCCAGACATAAATAGCAAAGCATTAACATTTCAAACTCAGGAATCATACTTAAAGAAGAATTACTTAGTAGACAACACGACAGAAGCTGAAAAGCAAAGACTGAAGAAAATGATGACGGAGAATGTATTGATGAATTTGAGAACATACGATGATAACTCGATAGTATTGTATGCCAATGACAATCTCAACAACTTCATTCATCTCTTCATTCACAACGGCACTCAAATAATATACCTTTTTAATCACGAGGACGAAATTGTAGAAATGAATGTAACTTACAAGAAAATAAACAAAGGTGAAAGTGTACAGATAGCTATCATCAGAACTGAAAATACAACTACTCTACATGTGAACGATCAAAACACTACAATTAATAAAGTGCCTAAACTTTTGACGAACTACACAAATACGCCTTGGATTAATCCTGATTTAGGTAATATTGAAAATAATCAAAGTCAAAAGTCAAAATTTCTTTATTTGTATAGACTATTAAATAGTTCTTACAAATCGTCAAATATTTTGCTCTTAAGGAGCCTCTACATGTCTCAATCGTGAGAAATATCTAATCACAATACAATTTGAACTAGGTGTATCAAAAAACTCACCCAATAATTAAACTTCTAGAGGTCATCCGTCCACAAAGACCACCAGCGCCTCCAACTGACTACTTCCAAATGAATCTCGGTGGATTTGACCCTTTATCCCTCCAGTTGGTACAACGAGCCAATCTTCTTCCTCAAGGGGGATACGTCGGCTGCGTTAGAGGATTCAAAATAGCAGACCACGTTGTAGATCTCTCTAGAAAAGCACAACAGGAGGTGGATCAAGGTCAAGGTAAATTGAAAGTACCTATGCCAACTTGTTGGTTGTTCATCTTTTCCTTAAAATACATCGTTTAGTTTTTATAGTTACTTAGTTATAATGTTTAATCTTTTTCCTCATTACTCGCTTAAGCGCCTCTTTCTGATACCAGTTGAAGAATATTAAGTGCGTCATTACAAATCTTGTTATTCTTAAGATTCTGAAAGTAAAAAACAATATAATATTCTATAATGTCTTCAAGCTTTACAATGATAAAAAAATACCATCAAATCAAATAACTTGTATCTCTATTTTGGAGTTCTAGGCGTCTTAGCAGAATGCAACATGAAATGCGACTCAGAGCCTTGCAAGAATGGAGGCATCTGTACTGAAGACTTTACCAATCACGAAAGCAGTTGTGACTGCGAGCTTACCAGCTACTTTGGAGAATATTGCATGGAAGAAAAGGGAGCTGAATTTAATGGAGAAAGTATCTTGCAGAGAAACTTTGCACTTCCTGGACCTATTTCTAAGGTAATTTGCGTGGACGACACGGATGACATACAAATTACAACTAAGTACCAAAAAATGTTACTTAGATGGTAATAATTATTTGCAGGTCAAAATTAAATTGGCGTTTTCAAGTAACGATTTAAGACAGAAAAACACCGTGTTACTGTTAGTGCAAACTGAGAATAAGTAAGTAGCACAATTTCATATTAATCTTTTTGCACTTTAAAAGTATAAATAAGTGATGAACTAATTGTATTGTAGGCGGAGTTATTACTTACTAGTGGCAATAACACAAGACGGCTACTTAAAGTTTGAAGAGGATCGCGAAGAATCGGCGTATGGAGCCGAAGTGAAAAATAGGAATTTCTTAAATGGTATACTTAAATCTAAAAATAAGTTAATTAATACCTTTTTCGCTATAGATAATTCAATAAAGTCAATATTTCTAGGTGCTAGACATACAGTTTACTATACAAGAATAGGTCAAGAAGCAAAACTTCTCATAGATAGAATAGAGGTTCCCTTAGAGAAATTACCACCTCAAGGTCTTTGGGAAGTGAACGACGTGGGGTCCAACGAGGTTCAGATAGGAGGCCTCAATACTACAGACCCGAGGCTGATCATCTACAAAGGGTACAATGGATGTCTGTCCAGTAAGTGAATTTTGATATTAAATATTCTTTCTGTCTGTATGTATGCAAAATAAAAGTTGAATAAATTGTTGTTTTTGGAGAAGTGATTTTGAGTTCAAAAATGTTTAAAAAATTTTATGAATAATTTTGTTCTACTACGTATACCTAAACGTTCTAAATATGTATTGAAATTCGACCAATAAGACTCAATAAATAGGCTTGAAATAAAATCTAATTTTGAGCTCCTTTCTGCAATAGAATCTTTTACTCAATCGAATTGAAAGACCTCGAGGAGGTAGCAAATACATCTCAAATAAAACAACGCTCTACATTTCTTTAGTATTTGCGTAAATTATACCTCTCAATATTAACCTGATTACTACTTCAATGAATCATTACTCTTCACAGACATCTTCGTAGAAATAAACGACTACATAATGAAGCCGCTAGAAGAATACATGCTGTTCACGGATGGATCAGACTCTGAGAAAGTGAACGCTGTGAATGCGCAAGGGGTTCGCAGCGCACAGTGTTCAGCAGACTTCGATGAAGCCTGGCCGCAGCACGACCAGCTTGGCTCTACGCATAATGGGAGCTTTCTTATTGTGAGTCGTTTTTAGTTCGTTCTTTTCAACCAAATGACCTTCACTGATGGACGAAGGCTTCTTCTTTGAAGAATTAGATTTGAGGAATTTGAGTTATTTATTTTCTTCTAGAACTAGATAGATGTACCTAGATATTTCGCTAATTTACTAAATGTTTTCCAATTACAGAGTGTAGATAAAACCTGGGTCGAAGATCCCCCGTCCAGAATCCCTTACGACTCTCTGTACCAACAGCCAGACACAGAAGAAGAAAACACTGACAAATTCTTCATAGCTCTCATAGTCATATTCCTTCTTGGACTATGCTATTGTGGTTCACATGTAAGTATTTTTTTTATGCAGGACAAGGCGGGTATTTGACCGCAATCGTACCTGGAGTTAAGTTAGATGCAGTCTAGGATGGTACATATCTGCCTATCTACTTACTGATGTATAGCTATAAAAATAATGCACTTATCTTTTGTAGATGTGGAGAACTCACAAAGCACACAAACTTCGCCTAGAAAAGGAAACAGATGAAAATATCATGAGAAACAAAGAGAAAGCAATCAAACTGCAAGAACCGAGTGTCTCATTTTTACAGGTAAAATCTGTGCCTTTTCTCTTTTTATTTGGAGTCGTCTCTCCTCGTTCTAAGACGCCAAGGGTCTTTCAGTTCGTTGATCTGAGTTCATGGCATTAAAATTGAACAATTTTGTTATTATTTCATGCTACGTTTAATTACAGCTAAACAAAGATGAAGGAGAGGCCAACAAAGATGGCGAAAAAAAGTCCAACGGTGTAACGATAGATGTTATACCGACAGTCGTGGTGGAAATGGCAAACGAGGACAAACCACTTATCAGGAGAGGGTCGTTGCGGTTCAGAGGTAACAAGATTTCTATCAAAATTAAATGCATTACCAACTAGTAAACAAGAGACGGTGTCCAAGTAGATAATTAAGAAAATTATAATGTCTAACAATTAAAAATTAAAGAAGAGCGAATGTGGAAAAATAGCAACCAACGCACGGAATAAAAGACGAAACTTGTTAGATCAAGAAAAATTTGCAACTCAGGTCAATAAGAATGAAATAAATCTAATGAAATTGCATGGTAGTTACTAGATTTGACTGAATTTATTTTACAGATTTAGTAGATAAGGAAGTCTCCTTCGAACCTCTGGAGGAAAAAGATGAAATGGAACACGAAGATGAAGAGAATAACCACAAGGTACAAGACGAAGAAACTGATGAAGAAGATGAAGACGACGAAGAGGGTGATGAAGACGAGCCTGATAAATTTAACTCCGTAAGTAGTCAATTATAAACTGTACTTATAGTGAGAACTTCAAACGAAACAAAGCACAACGTCGATGTAATCGCTTCAGAATCCCATCCCATCATGCTCTGATCAAAAATATCTATTTCCTTTTTTAAAAACCATTTACAAAATTATTTGCTAGAGTTAGCCTAGGCGCAGACCACCGATTTTTAGTTGGTCAATAGTTGGGCCTGTGCGCACTTCCATAGATACATGCCCATACTTACTAATCAACTGCCCGATTAAACTATCGGCCGACGAAAAATCGATGGTCTGCGCCTTGGCTTATGAGATTTTTTTTTCGACTTGCTGACTTTGCGGCAGCTCTTTTTTAACAAAAGCTCTTCAAACCATTATTGTTTTCTTTTCTTTCCAGATCGCTCATCGCATAACAAGAGACCCAAACTTAGGACCACCTACATCAACAAATACGACACAACTGCCATATAAAATAGATGAAGACGGATCAAATGAATTGTTAACATCAAGTGCATGAATTAAATGTTTTTTATTAAACGTTTTAAAGACTTTTAATAGCAACTAGGTGCCTAGGCAGGCACTAAATATTAATAAAATTTTAGATCAACTACTGTGGCTAGTCCCAGATCATCTTTAACCTAGATGGCTACCAATAGTTACCTACTACCTTAGATAAAGCCTACTACCTACCCTACTAAATATTTAAAAAATCTGGGTGCCTTTATTTTGTTTTCTAATAAATTAAGACGACACAGGTAATTAAGTATCTACTTACATAGCTGCTTATTTTTACCAATTTTACCCAAAACCTAAAAGCATTTTTAATTTTGAAATTCCCATTCCCATGATTGCACAAAGCAAAGTGAGAAGTTAGCCAATAAAGTTTGGCGAATTTTCTACCTCCAATGCTGTTAATAAAAAGAAAAACAGACAGCTTGTCTTTGACCTAATTTTGACATTAGTGTCATTTGATAAATATTTTTGTCTTTGGACACCATTGGTTTGTCAATTTACTCATTTTTTGATTTCAGAAGGTCGTGAAATTGTTAGATTATGGACGAAATTGAAAAGGAGAAAATAGCGGCTCTTCCGTCACAATTACTTGTAACGACAATATGCCATCCTATGGAATATGCGAAGGTTCTCATACAGCTCGGGTACGAGCCTATGGCACCGCGCCGCTCAACAACTCTTTTCGGCCGTCCTGCCATGATATTACCTAACGTTTTCCAATATATCAAGTACATCAAGACCCAAGATGGATTTTTCGGGTGCTACAGAGGCCTCTCCGCGCGAGTACTTGGACTGATCGCGTCTAGTCAACTTTCTGCGAAAGCGATCCACGCTTGTGGCATTGACCTACCCGAAATCACTGATCCTCCCAATATTGTCAATGATGAAGAACCCAAAGTGGAGGATTACATCAAGCTCGGACGTCGAGACCTGATAATGCACGCTGCTTCAGTTATCGTATCGTACCCATTCCATGTGGTGTCAGTCAGAATGATGGCATCTTTCATCGGGAAAGAAGAGGAGTACAGCTCGTTAATTGGTGCTATTGTATCGATCTACAGAGATGACGGCATACGTGGATTCTTCCATGGGATTATTCCTAAATTACTTGGAGATTTGACATGTGTAGCCGCGACCGCAGTCATGGCATACTATGTAAACAAATATCTAGTGAAAACTAAGGACCTGAGATACTACACAGTCCCTCTCCTGACATTTGTGACCAGTACAATAACCTATCCATTGGTTGTTGTATCAACCTGTATGGCTGTAGCTGGCTGCAGCTTGAAGGCTGGCAATCCACCGCTGATGCCGGTGTACCCGTCTTGGCAAACTTGCTGGAGAGACTTGTTGAGGAACAAACAACACAAGCGAGGCTCATCCCTAATCTTTAGGTACTACATTGCTCCTATTGCAGTCTTGCAATAATCACTTCAATCCTAAATATTAATTGCATTTATCTGTTTCTGTTTATTTGCTAAGTGTTATTCCACAACCACCAAAGTAGTTTCAACCTCTTGTAGAGAGTTTATATGTACAATGGAAAGTGTAAATAATTTTAGTATAAATGGTGTACTATGTGGTTATTCGTTTTGCTAGATTGTTGAGCCAAGGTGTGGTTATATTTAAATAAATATATTTTATTTGTCACTAGTGTTTTCATTTACAAATAGAAAAACAACAGTTACGTAAAACAATACTATTTTAATTTAGCCATAGTCTGAGCATTGATAAAGACCTCAACTAATTCTTTTTTCAAGGCTGCAACAGCTCTCCTATAAATATTTGCAGCTTGAGTGTTTCCAAGTTCAGTTTCAAACTTCATGTAATCCATCCATGCTTCAACATTGTCGCTTCCATGTTGTTGGACTAAGCACTCATAATACTTCCTGATATTTTTAGAATTTGGTTTCTCTTGAGACTTTTCTATTTCAATCATAGTTTTGTGGACTTCAACCTGAGTTGGTGGAGCTTTGATCAGCTCTTCATACATATCCCGAGCTGCTTTTAGACCATTGATTTCATACATTTTTTTCAGTAGTTTGGGCTTGAGGGACAACAATACAGAGCTTTCACAATTTTGGAACTTGGTGTACAACTTCTTCAACTGAAATAAACAATACACGGATAAAAATCTTAACTTGCCCTAAATTTATAACAAGCAAGAACACTGCTCTTAAGATAAGAAAGCCCAAAAAATGCTTACAAGTTCCTTGGAGTCAACATTTTCCAGCATCAGATTCCAAAGCTGAACAGAATCATTAGGTTTTAACATCTTAGTAGCTTCCTGAAGAGTTTGCAGCAAAAGTTTTTCATCACCTTTACATAATGCCAATATCTGTTCCCATACATACACAGATTGCTTGAGTTTTAATGATGTTGACTTTAGGATCTAAAACAATATACAAATTAATATAAGATCCAATTATTTTATTACATTTGTTTGAATAAATTCAAAAGTATTACCTCTAGCAGTTCCTTTTCTGATTTAGTATTTTCTAATTTCAACACTTCAAAGCCAAATTCAAACATTTCACTACTCAGTACATCATTTTCCAATCCAAATAACCATGCATCCTTCACAGCCCAGATTTTTTGGGAATCTGAGCAGACAGACTCACTTGCACCAAGAAGGCCATGAAGGAATTTGGTGCATAAACTTTCATCTGAAAACTAATAACATTACTTTAGTATCTAATAAACTTTCTGTATTTTCAATTTTATTTTTAGAATGACAATCATGCTACAAAATATAAACCTGAGTCAAAGCTTCTTTGTAAGTTCCAATAAAATGTTTTAATTCCTCAGAGTAGTTGCTTTCTTCATCACAATAGTCTTCAATTTCTTCCCAGTGTACTCCCTGAAAAATAACACAATTGTTATCATAATTTAAATTAAAAATTATATAGGTAGGTAGAATGCAAGAAAATTCAGATCAGCATACACTAGTAGGCTTAGGATGCACACCACAATAAACTTTTATATAGCCCTTTGATCGATTTTGCACAATATTTGTGGTTTTAATGTTCAATAAGATATTATCATGGAGCGCATCCTTGCATAAGGTTGGACAACACTTACTTCCAACTCTTTAGAAGCAATGTAAGACCAAACATCCTTATTGTCACGATTTGACCAAATTTCTTCTTTGATAGCATTTTTGATTGAGTCATCGGCTTCAAATTTCAAGCAAATATCATACAATTTGAATAAGAAATGTATGTCATGCACATGTTTAATGCCGTTCCGCCATATCACATCTGCCCTTTTGAGCTGTGTTTCCTGCAATCCCAACTAATATTATAAATGCGAAAGTAACTCTGTCTGTCTGTTACGCTTTCCCGCTTAAACCTCGCAACCGATTTTGATGAAATTTGGCATAGAGATAGTTTGAGTCCCGGGAAAGAACATAAGATAGTTTTTATCCCGGTTTTTGAAACAGGGACGCGCGCGATAAAGTTTTTCTGTGACAGACAAAATTCCACGCGGGCGAAGCCGCGGGTGGAAAGCTAGTTATCAATAAATAGATTATTACTACATTCTTACTAATAAACTGAGGTATTTTGTAGGTAACTCCAATACAAATACATACCACATCCTGTTCTTCAGATTTAGCTCTAAAACACAATGTTAACTCTATCTGGAAGAGTTCTAAGTAAAGGATGTCAGATTCGGGATGCCTATGAATTCCTTTTAGTAGAAAATTTCTAGCCGTCTCCAAATTATTTTGTTCTTGTTTCTCCCATTTACAAGCTAATTGCCACATTTTAGGCTTGTCACCATGAATCTGGAATTTAATATGATTAGTTTAGAATGTTATTCAAATCTCTTAAAGATAGTTCGTTACTAATGAAAAGGTAAAAGAGATTTACCTGTAGCATTTGGCCGATAATGCCAGATATAGCTTGGTCAAAACCTACGCTCTTGCAAAACTTAATATACTCAAAATATATCTCAACTTCATTCTGGAATCGGTAAATAAATTGTTTGAATATTTTGTTTAGCCTCTTCGCTATTGCAAACTCAATGTCCTTCTTTTTCTCGCCCAATTTGGCCTGCTTTCTTCGAAGGGAAATATCTTCAAGCAATGCGATTTCATACGCTATGTACTGAACGAAGTCTTCTTTCTGTTTGACTCTTCGTTGGATTCTGTACTCAAATTCTTTGCGTTTACGTGAGATTTCCCTAAACAAATAAAATGTATTACAGTTCGTACATTTAACTTATTATGAAGATTTTAATATTAATAAATGTTTAATACAAAAATATACCATGTAATTAAAACTTACGCACCTAATTTCTTCGTCGTCAAATAAGTTAGTACGTCTCATCTGTTCTAACTCATTTATCATATTCTCTATACGTTGATTTACTTGTTCCGCCATTTTTGGAGGTTCTTTTTATTCCACTTTCAATAAATTGAATAAAACAATTATGTATTGTCTTTTACAATTTAAAACCACGCACTGCTGCAAAAGTAATGTTTTGAAAAACAAGACGTGACTTTTTGAGGTTAGGTTATACTTTTTTTATTTGACAGTTTTGACATTTATCTAAATAGCAAGGATAACGTATACTGTACATCTTTTGCATGTCGGTACCTAGGTATAGCCTGACCAGGAACATAAAAACCCTGGCATAGAGGCGCGTCAAATGCATTTGATAGTGCAACACTGAGTACAGTCGTAAAAAAAAAAAAAATCGTACCTGTGTTAAATTAATAGGCTAACTTTATGTATCAGGATTCAGGATTACGGGCTAATTTGATATTTTCATAAATTAACGAAAAAATATTATTATAGGTAACCTGGTTTAAATAAATTAAATGAAACCATCAATCGAGCTAGTAGGATTTATTTTATTATTCATCAATAATCAAATTCAGAACTTGAATATTCAACTGCAATGTCTGCTCATGAACGCTTCAAACTCGGTACTTCTTTCCCAATTCCATAAAATTCAACACTTAAAAAGTGACATACATCTTTAAAATAGGTAGTTGAAACAAACCACAGCTAATTTTCATAGTGGACTGTACTATACGATAAACATGTCAGTCAATTTGACAACCTTTGTCGGAAACATTATTCAATGAAAATATTGTCCGAACCCTTAGTATTTCTCTTCGACAAATACTTTAACACATTGTGAACCACTTTTCTTTCACGACTATAAAAAGATTTTAGCAATTTAATTCACAAAATCAATTGCGCACATTTAAAATAAAGTTTGTTTACACTTTGACAGCAATAGACTGACATGCAAGGTGACATGTAAATGAAGTTTTCAGTTACTGTTGCCATTATAGATGACCCACGCTGAACTGTCCCGCCAAACTCAATGACAGGAGGGCGCTACCATCGTTCAACTATATGGTTTCCAACATGGCAAAAATCTGAACCAGCGATCCGGTATTGACGGTGGCGCCCCACTGTCAATGTCATCGACAGGACAGTCCAGTATTTTGGAACTATAAAAGAAATTAGTACCATTAGTTTTCCGCAACATGGCGAGGGTTTTTATGTTCCTGGTCAGGCTATAAATGGTCAAGGCGACTTGATTTATCGATTTATTTATTTACGAAGGCCGTTTCTACCGAGGCGGAGAGGAGCGGAGGTGAGAAATGTGTTTTATTCAATCAGCTCTGAGTCAATTAAATTAATAAAATGTAATGGCATTGTGATAATCATAATACAGGGTGTCCCAAAATTTGCAAGTCACACTTGCGTTTCGTGCTACACTCGTGTGAGTCCACTCTGATCACCCGGGGCATCGTGTCCGTAGGTGTCGCTAGAAGTCCACTTTGATCACCTGGGTGATCAGAGCCAGGTGATCAAAGTGGAATGGACCCTGAAGCCTATCTCTGGTGTCAGTGTGACGTGCTAATTTTGGGACACCCTGTATATTAGATATTAATGCAAATCTCAGAAATTAATGCAAAGACAAATCAGTATTCGTAAGAAGTGTAAATCTGAATGGAAAATCGTTTCGATTTGAAAGTAGAAACACTTTTATACTTATAAAAGTTTAATAACCGTACTTAACACTAACTTACGTAATAAATTACTTTGAACAAATAATACAGGCTGAGTGAGTTATAGTGATGTTACAAAGATTCTGATTTGAAACAAGAGTCAGGATTTTAATTCATAATGGAATATGAAATGGATATTTACTATTATTTACAATCTATACGTCTATACAAACTACTGAACTAACCGCGAAACAACAAATTGAGCGGATATATCAAAATTATATGCTTAGTTATTGGTGGAGATTGATAGTGACGTCACTAGGCATATGAGCGTTACGTAACGTTAGCTCGAAGTCCAAATTTTCCGCGCTATCCTAGGTTCATCATTCAGTTAACCTTTCATTAAACTTTTATACATAGTATAAAACAAGATAACATCTATACATTCATGATAATTAGTTTACCTTCACCACGTGACTTCGTTATTAAATTACAAAATAAATACAAATACGATCCATAGGGCTGTCACTTCGCCGTGAACCTAATGACGCCCGCATCACCGTGTTCTATCAGTCCTCGCCCGTTGAAGCAATTATTTAGCCACGTCTTACAGAATATTTTAAAGCTTTCTCTCTCCGCGTCAGATTTCGCGACTGGAGTCACGTTAATTTCTGGTGTGCATCTGCCGAAGTTGACAGCGGGTAGCCACACGGTGAAATCCGAGTCTGGTGAGTATTTGAATATGTCCTGACAACCCTGGAGATTTATCTGGGGGACTGGCGGTTGGCGCTGCAGAAGTTTTTTGAGGGATATGAACGTTAGCATGTTGTGTTTCAATGTGACCGACTGAAGGTGCTTGGCGCGGCCAAGTGATCTGTAAACGAAATGGTGTACTTGTTTATATTATACTGAGTAATTAAACTTTCAATCAATATATTTTATAAAACACATTCTAGAGTATCTAAAAGGTTAGTTATACTAATATTAATAGTATTCTCAGGTTAAAATATTCCATGAGGGATAGTTGTCCTTGCCTATAACTGTTTTATGGTCTGTGGGTCTAGAGACCCACTATAATCGCAAACTAATCGAAAAATGGTCGAAAGACCTTTTTTTGTATGGAGTTTTAACGGATTCGATTTTCGATTCGATCAAAAAGTGCAACTTGTCTAGGGGGGCTGGGATGTGGTTCTTATATTATAATATCTCTCTAAATGAAGTGATAAAATAACTAACAAAGCTATAAATACCTGAATATCCTCATAAACTGTCCATCCACAAGTTTGCAGTGCGACAAACTAAACCGCCTTATTTTCAACTCCTTTGCCGAATCCATAAAAGCTGCTATGCACCCAACTGCGTTTCCTTCCACGCCAATATTTTCCATATCCAACTCCGTTACAACATTTGGATTCAACGAAGTCATCAGGTAACTAACCACAGGCTGCTTAATATCATTATTACTAACATCTATTGTTTCTAAATTACTAAAATTTGTACAAGATTTTACAGTCTCATTAACAGCGTTTTCGGTTATTCCACAATTATTTAACTTAAGCACCCTTAACCGAACGTGTTGTGATATTTTCACTATATTTCTGAACCCTTCATCGGATATAGGATTTGCACTAATATCGATTTCTTCCAATGATTGGCATATAGGCCGTGTAGCTTTCTCGAATATGTTTAACAAGTGCTTGGTTCCTTCAGCTGTGATGTTGTTTCTGCTTATATCGAGGTGGGTTAGCTGTTTCATGGTGCATAGACAATCTGAGAGGTACTTGAGTCCGTCATCGCCGATGTTGTTGTCTGATATCATGACCGCAGTGATGTGCGCTTGGTGCGTCATCGCTCGAAAGAGGGGACGGACTTGCGAGAACGACAGAGTTTTGGCACCGAGCGCTAGTCTGTGGGTGGTGTGACTCCTGCCGACTGCTTGTTGAATTTCTTCTGAGGGCGCTGGAATAGGAAATAACATAATTACAATGACATCACACTAAACATATACACAAAATACATCGTGTATTGGGTGGTTGACACTATCAATTTATCTGCAACTTTAACTAACAGTCAAAATGAGGTTCTTCCGTAGTCTTTGTATAGCAATAAGATAGGACCATAAGACGTAAAGTTGTCGAATTACTAGTAAAGCAACGCACTTATTGCAACTACATAAAATGCCCGTGTTTGGCTTGATATGCCGTCGCGTCGTTGGAACTCGAGGCAGAACTTCTAAAAACAGTCTATTGCGATATGACTTACGTATGCTTAACTCATCGCAGCACTCTAATAAGCGCTCCTCAGCTGGTAAAGCTTTCTAGTTGGTGACGCCCTTCTTTCGATAAAACACTCTATGTGACTATGTGGTATACTTACGTATGCTCAACGCATCGCAGCACTCCAAGTAGCGCTCCTCAGCCGGCGAGGCCTTCCAGTTGGTGACGCACTTCTTCTGACAAGGAGCTCCGGTGACGACAGCACCAGGCTCAGCGGGTCGTCTTCCGACAAGATGGCGCCGTCTGACGTCATCAGGCTGAATACTGGGCGGATGCCTGTTAGCCTGGAAAAAGAAGAAAAAGGATATAAGTAATTGATAATGCTAGTTCAAATACATTTGGTTCAGTTCATTTGGTATGTAAATTTATTTTGTAAAAAAAAAACACATTTTTGGGGAGGATGTTATGTAGGGTCACTTGTATTTCGTTGAGTTTTCAATATTGTATTTCAAGCGAGTTGTGTTCTGTAGCGCTCGCCAGGCGTTCCCTACATCGCATACAGTAAGCCCGCTACCAAGCCACTATTGTAGTTGTATTGCCCATTGTTAGATCAAGAATATATTTCTACAGTGACCATTTAGTAAACCTTCTGATAGAGTAAAGTAACGCCCATAGACACAGATATAACACACATACTACACACTACACAGCTGCCAACTGGTGATACACAGATGCTAAAGTGGTGAAATAAGGTGTTACAGAGGTGTTACACTATGAAGTGTGTAAGTGGATTAACTTGAAATCACAAAACTACAATAATGATGATAAAAAGGAACTTACTTGTAATATCTGGATTTAACTTCTTCAACCAGCCAGCTGATTGTCAACTTATTCATCGCGTCCAACTTCAGCGAGATCAACAACACCTTATCCGTAATGTGCACTTTCACAGCCGCCGGAGGCAGTATCTGCGTTTGCATGGGCCGTCCATTCTTGGAAGACTGCACTATATTTATCGGCTGGATCACATTTACAGGCTGCATTATGCTTGGATTTATATTCTGGACCACGTTAAAACCATCGTTTGCATTTTTAAAGTTTTCTGAAGACGAATGCCGCGAGAAAGAACCAGTAGGCGTTTGTCGCCGACTCACATCTTTCCTAGAAAATTCATTTTCACTCCCACTATTGCTCGAAACGTCATCGTCTCTTTTCCTTTGAAACCCAGCCTTGAGTAACGTACTTTGCCGCTTCCAACGTCGTCTCATGCCATCCCTGCTATCTCTATACTTAGAATCGTTCAACTCTCTACTTATATTCGCCATAGATTCTGAAGCAGTTACTTTCGGGCACACATTTTCGTTCCTATGGAAGTAGTCAGAATCGGAACTATTGTCACTTATGTCTACGACGTCGCTGATCCGCGATTTCTTCTGCTTTAAATTTTTGTTACTTTCAACTAACGGTTCAGTGAGTTTGTTTATATTTTCTATGCTATTCTTCAAGTTTTCCAATGAAGGTTTCTTTGCTACAACAGTTAATGGGTCGCTAAGTTTTCTCTTTTTGTTATTTTGTTTATTTATGCCCAAATCGTCGTCAAGCCAGTCGTCATCTACTTCATTCGGAGTCAGTAAAGCTGGTTTAGGTTTGGACTTTTTCACGTCGACTTCAGGGAACTCGTTAGCATTTCTGTTCCTTAAAGCCGATATGGCGCTTCTGTATTCTTTTACGCCAGATATATTATTTTTACGGTTATCCGATTGGTCGTCGGAAGACTCCGTGTCGTCAGAAGGAAACGCCGCTTGATTTCTATTTTGTGACGCGTTGATTTCGTCATCACTGTCATCGTCGATAATATTCCGCCTTTTCATCGGCGAATTTAACTCCTGGATTCTACTGCTCATTTTCGAAGTGCTAGGCGGTGACACGTTTTTTATAGTTTTCACTGGAGTTTTTGATTTCGATCTATTCAAGTCTGCTCCACCAGTCTTTTCGATTAGATTATTTATTTTGTTGCAGATGTTTTTGTATAGGATTTCTTCGTCGTGTGTCAATATGGTGCTAGTTCGCCATTTTTGTAACGCATTGAGCGGAGTCTCGCCGAAGTCAGTTTTGAGAGATGGTATTGCGCCTTTTTCCAATAATAATTGAACTACGTCTAAATGACCATTGCTCGCTGCGTCATACAATGGTGTTATACCTGAAATTCGAATCCATAATTATAATAAAAATCAGTCGACAAACAATTAATGCTCACTGACTGCTCACCGATAGTTGTAGTATCTGAAAATGTATGAAAAACTAGGTTTTGCCCGCGGCTTCACCCGCGTGAAATTGGGTTTGTCACAGATCGTCTTAAATTATAGCCTATATGATATTCTGGGTTATAAAGAATAATACTGTAAAGTTTCATCAAAATCCGTTCAGTAGTTTTTGCGTGAAAGAGTAACAAACATTCATCCAGACATCCAAACTTTCGCATTTATAATATTAGTAGGATTGTATTATACGTGGGAGTATGCACACTTAATAAAACAAAGTTCACGACTTTCTCGTGTCTTTCTGTCCAGGTGATTCTACTGTCTCCGACACGAGACCCGTCAAACCTTCGTGGTAAGCTGTAGTGGAGTATCTATCCTACTAATATTATAAATGCGAAAGTTTGTGTGGATGTCTGGATGGTTTTTACTCTTTCACGCAAAAACCACTAAACGGATTTTGATGAAACTTTATAGTATTATTATTTATAACCCAGAATAACTTATAGGCTATAATTTATGACGATATGTGACAAACTAAATTTCAAGCGGGTGAAACCGCGGGCAAAAGCTAGTCTAAATATATAAATGAAAGGTGACTGACTGACATAGTGATCTATCAACGCACAGCCCAAACCACTGGACGGATCGGGCTGAAATTTGGCATGCAGGTAGATGTTATGACGTAGGCATCCGCTAAGAAAGGATTTTACGAAACTCCACCCCTAAGGGGGTCCACGCGGCGGCCGCTAGTTTGATAAAATAAAATCAGACTTACCATCGCAGTTAGATCCCCCCCTATCATTGATATTGGCTCCGCTATCAATGAGTATATTGGCGATTTCCAAGCGGCCGTGTATGCACGCCTCGTGTAGCGGCAACCAGCCTGCGTTGTCTCGGATGTTCACTGGATGCCCTTTGGCTAGCAACCTCTCTACTAGGAGCTTGTTGCCTGATATGCAAGCCTGGAAATTTATTTATTTATTTTCTTTATTAGGAAAACATACAGCTTATATTGACCACGAGCTGGAAGACGTAGCGTGGGCAGGCCTCCCACTAGGTGGACCGACGATCTGGTGAAGGTCGCGGGAAGTACCTGGATGCAAGCGGCGCAGGACCGGTCTTTGTGGAAATCCTTGGGGGAGGCCTTTGTCCAGCAGTGGACGTCTTTCGGCTGAAACGACGACAGCTTATATTATGATACAGGTAGAATAAAAATAATAAGTCTTAAACAAGCCTATGAGTATGAGTAAATATAAATAGAGAACAGTGTGTTGAGAATCCTTCATCATCATCATCATCTCAGCCATAGGACGTCCACTGCTGAACATAGGCCTCCCCCAATGCTTTCCATGTTACCCGGTTGGTAGCGGCCTGCGTCCAGCGCTTTCCTGCTACCTTTATGATGTCGTCGGTCCACCTTGTGAGAATCCTTATGGTCATACAAATTTTTGTTTCCTCTGAGCTATTCAACAAAGCCAGCCTAAAACTGAGTGGATATCCATTCGACGCATATTTACTTTGTCTATAGTCTGGTCCGTGAGCACATAGAATTTTGTCCAATGACCCCAAGCTACCCATCCTTATCGCTCGCGCGTAATTATGTTGCTATCGCGCTCGCACGCTTACTGCGGGTGCCAGTCGCACAGTCGCGACAGCAATATAATTACGCGCGAGCGATAAGGATGGGTAGCTAGGGGTCATTGGACAAAATTCTACGTGCTCACGGACCGGGCTTTAGTTTTTTAGGTGTAGGTTAGGGTTCAATTTCCATCAATACAGACTGTTTTATATCAAAGCTACCATTTAATTCATTCATACAAGATTTTATCCAAATTAGTTCAGCGGAGTAGGCGTTTAAAGCAAACTCACCACATGCAGTTGTGTTTCGCCTTTCATATTCTTCTTGATGGTGAATCCTTTCCCACGTCTCCTGGTTTCTCTCGTCTTTTCAGCTACATCCTCATCATTAGTGTCAGATAAGTCTAGAAGGAAAACATACATACACCATACTATTATGTTGTGTGCTATTTTTAGTCAACCCACTCGTGCGCGACATATCTTTATGTAGAAATTGATATTAAATATTTTTCTTCTTTTCTCTTTAAGATCCTTAAACATAGGGTGAAGTTTCTGTGGAATATGTCTTTAAATTAAATACTGCAGGCCCCCTAAACTTCTCTTTAATGAAGATAACCACAAACTGAAACAATATTTGAGTACTTAAGCCGTTGGGGCAGAAAAGTTTTCGAGTGGCGACCACGGGCCGGAAGACGTAGCGTAGGCAGGCCTCCCACTAGGTGGACCGACGGTCTGGTGAAGGTCGCGGGAAGAACCTGAATGCGGACAGCAAGGATTGGTCGTTTTGGAAATCCTTGGGAGGCCTTTGTCCAGCAGTGAACGTCATGTGGCTGAAACGAAGTTATTCAATTTACCTGTAAGATCCTCAAGGCACACGTCATCACCAATATGAGTGGTATCCTCGTCGCCTCCTCCCACTGAGCTCTGCTCATCCTCAGAATTGTCTAGATTATCGAAGTCGTCATATCCCAGCGCCCTTAGTTCGTTTCTGATGTCCTCCATTTTGTCAGTTTCGCCATACTCCTCTTGGTACTTCAGCAAGCTTTTCAGCACTCTGATTTCGCATTTCTTTTTGTTCCATTCCTTGGCCTGTAAAATTATTTTTATAAATAAAATCTTTTTGTCTCTGAAACTAAAAATTTTCATTTTTACAATTTAGAGGTGAAAACGGTTTTATTAACACTGTTTGTAGGTGGATAAAGATAATGTAATGGGAATAATTTCGTGTCAATATAATGACGCAATTTGTACAACATAATCACTAATTGATGAATAATTAATTAATGGACAACATACTAGAGACTACATAGACTAAAACAGTGGTCATTTTGAATAGAAATCGTATAAAACCTAACATAATTAAGGATCATAATTTTTAAAAAGAATATTAGTAATTTCATTTGTATTGCACACAAATTACTAATAGTCCAGTTAGCCCCTCGTACTAAGCTAAATATGCTAGTGTCACGAGTGGGCTCACCACAATAGTCGAGCGTCCACGGTTCGGCTATCGTAGCTTGAAAATTAAAGTAAAATAATTGTCCACAATTTATTCTCGTATGAAAATTTGACTAAAAGGTATGATTAGACTCCATGCAGCAGAGGACATGTCGCCGTGACGCACTGGTTTTTGTGTTTCCAAGAACAAAATTCAGACGACTTGTACGAATAATGGAATACGAATGGATGGAGTCACGAACTTTTACTGCTTTAAAATTTACATATTATTTAGTGGTTTTACTGATTTCAACAATACTCAATAATGTATTGCATCCGTAACGTTACAGAGGTGGTATGGTAAGGTAACATATTTATTTTATTTTGTATAGGTTCCAACTTACAGCATTCCTGGCATCAAGGCAAGCTTTCTGGACCTGGTGGTATGGCTTCTTAGCGAGGAACAGAGCTTCAGCGATATTATATAGTGTGGTGAACGCCTCCTTAGGAACATCCTTGATCAGCTCATACTCCTTCTCGTAGTAGTCTAGTGCTTCGTTGTAAGAGCCCATGTCTTTGTAAGTTTGGTATAAACTGAAAATAGTGAAAGCTGTAAAACTTGAGCCATATTAATAAAAATAATGATTAAAAATAAATGTGTCTATGACTATAGTCCACTCCGGTCACCGAGCACATAGAATTTCGTCCAATGACCCCAAGCTACATCCTTATCGCTCGTGCGTAAATTTATTTCAATTCGAATGTAAACTAATATGATCCCAATGTGATTGAAATAAATAATTATTTAATTTATTTCAAATTTATTGCTGTCGCGCTCGTACACTCACTGCTGCCGCCCGTCACACAGTTGCGACAGAAATATAATTACGCGCGAGCGATAAGGATAGGTAGCTTGGGGTCATTGGACGAAATTCTACGTGCTCGGCGACCGGACTTTATGCATGCATGCACTCAAAAATTTTTCTAGAATATGTTGAGCAAGCGTTAGGTAGTTTTCTTATTTGGTTTTTTACAGTCAATCAAATACAAGAATCCAATTTTAATTTAATCATTTTACCTAACATAAATAGGGATAAGCGTCTTCCCACAGTCACCAGCGAGCTCAGCATGGTCCAACATCTTCAGGTAATACTCCACGGCCCCAGCATAGTTCTTCAAGTGGCACGCACCGTCACCGAGCTTCTCATACAGTTTCTTGAACGTAATGTGGTCGGATGGATCACTAGATATGAGCAGGTCTTCTGTATAACACATTGCTGCAACTGCAAATATATTTTTGTATTATTTTGTGCAGCTATCAAATTATAAGACTAATCATTTTTGTTGCTAAATTCCGCCTATTAGAGCCAAAGCACACGATGCGTTGCGACGACGCACCGCTCATGTGCCCGTCAGAAATATGTCAATGTAAAACGACGCAGCGACACCGCTCCGGCGTCGCACCGCCGCCGCAACGCATCGTGTGCTGTGACTGTAACAGCTACATGAAACGGCAGTATGTCACATTTTTAAATTTTAAAATATAGCTGCCAAATAAGCCTACTCACCAACTTTAAGGTTTGATTCAATATTCTCATGCTCTTCTTCATCAGGGGTCTTTAACTTCCAAGCCTTCAGCAAAACTTGTTTAGCACTCTGATAGTCTGACATTTTACACAGTATATCTGCTTTTATAGACAATGTTTCACAAGTTTTTAATACCTGAAAATTAGGAATTAGGTCAAGATTTACAAAAAAACTATTTTCAATAAAATAGAGCCAATAAACCAATTAAGCCTTAATTAATTTCAATATTTTAAAAGCCTATTTGCAAAAATAAATGAGTTCTTAATTTTTATGAGTTTTAAAAATATGTAAAGCAATTTAGCTAGTTTGATAATAGTGGACTGTATATTGACGAAAGGGCACCTCCATGTATACTTTCTTTTTGCTTAATTTATAAACAGAATACAAATGCCTCTTCCATCTAATCTAATAAGAAACTGTTAACTACGACTATTCCCATTAATGTTATGTTATATTTACCTTATCCTCAAGTCTGCTAGCTACTTCCAGTGCTTTATTCAAGCAGCCCAACGCTTTAGCATAGTCCTTCTTCTTATTGCTATGAAGGGACGCTTCAGTGGTGTAACAGTTGTGTAGCACCTCAAACAAGTCTTCGTTGGAGCATATACTGATTGCTTTCCTTATACAGTCTATGGCCTTGTCGAAGAAGCCAAGGTGTTCTTGGACGACCCCAATGTTAAGCAGCAGACGGGCTCGCATATCCATCAACTCGTGTTTAGTAGTTTTGCCATGCAGACTGAAATAACAATTACAAGATACATAAATCCATGATGAAATGATGACGTCATAAATTGAATAGAGTGATAAAAAGGTTTAAGAAATTAATTATTAAAATTTTTCATCGCAAATTAATTTTTAAATGATTTTCCACTTATGGAAGTTTGATTTTTTCAAGATAAAAGGATGAATAACATTAAAAATATAGTAGGTACCTATGTCATAGGGTCATTTCGCCTGTTCGCGTCCATCGCCCAATTCGCGTCCATTTTGCCGATCTCCTTTTAAAAATCCTCGAAAACAAGTCAACTAACACACCAATCACACGAAAAGTCATTACCGCTAATACGTCAATGTATAAGAGGCACGCACACATAGACAAAAGTCCTGTGCGTCCAACCATTCCTGTTTAGAAAAATAGTTAGTCTCGGCTGTTCAACAAGGAAGCTCACACGCGCTGCATGTTTAGATAAAAATTAGTGTGCAGCGGCGTGTTTGATGGTAAGTTTTATATTGTTTTATGTGTATTTTAGGATAGATAACTATTTCTACAGTTTAATGATGAAAAAAGGTATAATGTTTATTATGAATTTGGTAATGTTTTTTATATTTAACGAATAAAATAAGGTGGACGCGAATTACTACATCGATTTTACATACCTATCCTCTATAATAATAAACCAAATTGCGTCCACTGTTTTCGTTAAATACTTGCTTATAAAAAAATTTTAAAACATACTGTTTAATATTAATGTGTATAGGTAAGGTCATTTTAAGAATACAAGTTCGCCCATCTGACCCTAAGTGAGCTACTTTTATTTTAATTGATATTTTTGTTTTTGTTTAATTTTTTCCAAAATTTGACCTAAAAACTGCCTAAATTTTTTTTCTCGCGTGTTTTTAACCGCTTTTGTTATTTGATATTAATATCGAATATGTCTTTAGTCAAATAAATTCAATTTCAGATCCAGATAATGATTGGATAGCTAGTTACGAGCCGCGAAAGTTTAACAAAGGTACAAACCACGATAAAAATTTCAACTTGGAATTCGATTTAAAAAAAATTAAAGGTGATAGTGGATTGCCAATGATCTTAAAAACATCTCTAGCTTCTCTTCTTTCCAATGATATGTCACGTCATGTAGTAAATATTGAAATTCGTCAAAAATTCAAAGTTTAGGGAAGAAAATGGAACAATAATACAAAAGTAGTTGAATGGCTTCTTAACATTTCGAGATGGAGAGTTTAAAAATAATTTCAAAGATGATCGTCCAGGTCAAAAATTGTTTGAAAAATGTTTGGCCAGAAATAAAGAATTTTTTACTTAAACCAATGTTGAGAAGAATTATGTATTTTTATTTTTTAAAGTGAGTTTTAAATGATGATAATGTTGATTTTTAATAATTAAGTTTATTGTTAAATAAAGAAATTGTTCAAATACAATCTTTCTTTATTAATTCTTAAAAATATCACCCCTATACATATTCCTTTTCTAAGCTGCTGGACGCGAAATGGTCCACGGGTGGACGCAATTTGGATTTTGTGGACGCAAACTGGGTATAACGCCTAATTCTGAAGTTTATCTATTTAAAAAGAAAACGCAAGATGTTTCTAATACAACTGAAAGTTAATCTTAAAATAGAATATATAATGAATACATTACACAAATTTGTCATAGAAATGAGTGCTGGGGCATTTTTATTATCGCCGTCAAACTTGCCAACTGCACTAAATGGACGCGAACAGGCGAAATGACCCTAGTACATGTAAGATATACTATGACCAAAATATCAAAATAAATTAACAACTGAACAAAATTATTGTTTAAAGAAACAAACCTTTCACACAAAACTAGACTTTTCATAAATGCCTTTTCAGCGGCTTTCAGTGAAGTTCTGGCTTCTGCTTCATTTGTGGTACTTTGTCCCTGCAGAAGATATATCCGGCCAAGCGTTGCCATAGCTCTCTGCTCTTCTATTAAGTTCTTCAGCTCTTTTGCAATAGCTATAAAAATAATTAGTTTGGATTTGTAGTCATTCAAAAGTAAAAACATACATCATGTATCCACTCCACACAAAAACATGAGTCTTCATAGTGACATTTGATAAATACAAACAGCTGATAGTCCAATAAACAGCTGATAGTAAATTAAACAGGTGATAGTCTAACAATATTACAGCCTTTAATTGCTTGCTCAAAATAAAAACATCCAACAGAGACTACGAGAATTCATGGAATAACTTGTTATAAAATACTCAAATAATAAATGAAGAATCCAATGTGCTTACCCAAATGCCGCTCCTCATACTTAAGGGCCTTGTCAAATTCCGCCATAAGCATGTGCATCTCACCGATCATCCTGTTGCAAGTCGCCCACTCCAGACGAAGCCCCAGCTCTTTGCAAATACTAGCCTCATGCTTATACTCGTCAAGGGCGTCGCTATAACGATTATGTTTGTAATAATAAGTCGCCAAATCATTACAAGCCTCGGCCAGAACTCGTCTATTACTCGCATTCAGAGCCTTCTTCTTCCTTCTTATTAATTCTGGAATATCAAACAAAAATTTATTTGTCAACAACGATGCATAACCTTGTTGTAACCGAAGATATTGAAAATATAACTAATATTGCTTACTGTCTTCTTCCATTTTTGCAGGTTTCGGATCAGATTACATTATCTAACTAAAAAAATTAAGTTCACAGTTAACAAAAGCTGAGATTTTTGTAAAAATACACACACTTTCATGAATTTTTTACCGCCTCTCCTTGACTGACATTAAATTGACAGTGACCTGTGACACATTGGTGACACTGACAGGACTACAAAGAGTTGATTCATAAAGATGTACCGACGTCCTTAATATAAAGGTATGCGCACACATAATTTGTGTCATTATCACCATCATTTCTCTTCATTTCAGCCATAGGAACTGCGGAACATAGGCCTCCTCCCCCAATGACTTTTGGCTTCCACATCGCACGGTTGGTACCGGCCTGCATCCAGCGCCTTCTTGCTACATTTATCAGTCATCACACGTCGGTGCCTGTTACTTACGAGTACGACCAATAATTTTAAACAGTCTTTGGCGTTTAATTTAAATTGCTTTTAATCTGTGGTGTCGCGGCGTTGTCGTCATCGACTGTTTACATTTTTTGTTTGTGTGTTGTGTTTCGGAACATTTCGGAATTTCAGCTTTTCAGCCAGTATTTTCAAGTATTTTATGTGATTTAATTTGTATGTTTACGTTAAAACTTTCTAGTGTTTAAAATAAAAAACGTTAAATTAAAGTAATTAATAGTTTGTCTGTCTAAAAAGCAAGAACTCAGTGTAATGCTGTTTATTTCTTCACAGCGGCGTTATTCATTTGTGAATGTAAGTACCTACTTACCGTTAATTATTTTTAATATTTAAAATTAATCGTTAATTAATTTATTTATCGTTTATTAATAATTTTTATTAGCTACTTAATTTGGTTNTTTCTATGCGATTCTTGCAAGAAAACAAGGAATAATTGAAGAAAAAAAAAACTCGTCGAAATTATTCTAAGTGTTGATAGCGCACTTTTAATTGGCTCTAGAAAGTTAACGGTTGGTCCTAGAAAAAAAAGTTATCTGAAGATTAGTCTTATTTTTATCTATTCTGAACATTCCCGGCAAAAAAAGCCAAAAATTCAAAAAAAAAAAATTTTTCATAAAAATTTTTCTAAGTCTCGTGCCCCATAGCGCCCCGTTTCCTATACACTGACCCTTAATTTTGTTGGAAGAAAAAAATAATGAGGTAAACGGTTATAGGTAGGGTGGGTGATTTTCCTCAAATAGGCATGGTTAATCATAATAAAATTAGAATTAATATTATAAGCCTCATTTACATAAGAATTAATAATAACACAAAGTAGCAGCTACTTCAGTTAATTTAAGTGGTAATACACACTTAATGACAAGATAGGGGGTGCCCACTCTAAATAATTTTAACAGATTTTAAGCAACTATACATATAAATCATAATAATAGCTAGTTACTACCGACCTAAAATACCTACTCCCATCGATTACATAATCGCAATTTTTTTTTAAATTTAGGTAGGCATATTCATCAAAATAAAATAATAAAAGTAAAAAATAGGTGGTTACCTACATAATATATCTACTGTGTTTATGGTACCCACCTAATTTAAATAATTTCATTATTCATTCAATTTTATTTATTATTAACTTAGATTAAAGATTATTAATAATAAATCTGGTTACCCTGATTCGTTGACCCTGGTGGTTTAAGTTAAATTTAAATTACATTATTAGTTCCATGAAAATAAAATGTAACTTAGTAGAAATTGCTACCCTTGATCATTGACTTATCTAATAAAACTTATTGAAAACAGTGTTTAGCTTTAGCTATTTATGTCTTAGACATAAATGCTGTGCTTTTCCTCTAGGTAATTTTACTTATTTCAAGAAGCCTGGCATCAAAGAAATTATTCTACTTAGGGGCCGTCCATATATTACGTCATTCTAAATTAGGGGGGGGGGGGGGTTGGTCTGACCTTCCTTAAGAATCATTCTATCTATTAAAAAAAAAAAGGTGATTCTATAACCAAGTGTTTTAATTTTGTCAAACTGGTAATGACGTCAATTTTGGGAGAAGGGGGGGGGGTCATTAAGAAATGACGATAGGATGATTGTAGGGGGGGGGGTCTAAAATCTGAAAAAATCGATGACGTAATTTATAGACGGCCCCTTACTTAAAAGCATTTGATTTATTTCACAATAAAAAAAAAGTGATTTGTATTCCATTATTTCGCTTTCTAATCAAGAAGTCTACTTAAATAATAGTTCCTACCTTTGCATATTTTATAAAAAACCGATAAAAATAATCTGATAAGTTCCAAGGCAACTGATTTCTTTTGTCTCCAAACCTCTTTGTGATTAGCAGGTAATTATTTTCCCCGAAGTATTGTTATATCCTTTGACAATGTATCAGATAACACAAATAATAATAGGCCCATTCTATCGTAAGTCTTCCCTATCTATGCATATGTGAGATAGAACATTATTTTCGCAGCAGTACATCGACATTCCTATTCTAACGGAACGACTACGCGGCGCCTCCTTTAGGCGCCACTGTTTTGACCTTCCGTTAATATGTACAGTACTCAAATAGAAAAAACAGTACATTTCATACATTAATGATTGAAGGGAAGAACACGATGGCATTCATCATCATCATTTCAACCACAGGACGTCCACTGCTGAACATCTTCTTCTTATTCGTTACGCTCTTGGCAGAGCGGTCGTGGTCACGTTGAGGCGTTGTTCACATCGGTTAAAAAGGCGGATACAACTCTGCACGATCTCCCTCCATCTCTCTCTATTGGCAGACTGTCTAGTGCAGTCACATACGCGGTCTCCCACTGCTGATTTCACTTGGTCGGTCCAGCGCATTGATGACCTGCCACGCGATCGGGTTCCTTCGACTTTTCCTTGGACGACCAGTCGTTCTATGGAGTTTTCATCCCGCCTCAAAACATGTCCGAAGTATTGCAGTATGCGCGACTGTACTACCGACACCGAGCTCCTGGAGTATGGACACATTGGTACGGAACTCTGTCCATGATATCCCGAGTATCTTTCTCCAGCAGCACAACTCTAGGGCATCTATCTTCCTCTTTTCCATTTTGGGTACTGTCCATGTCTCTGCTGAACATAGGTCTCCCCCAATGACTTCCACATCGCACGGTTGGTAGCGGCCTGCATCCAGCGCTTTCCTGCTACCTTTATCAGGTCGTCGGTCCACCTTGTGGATGGACGTCTCACGCTGCATCCGGTACGTGGCCTCCACTCCAGAACCTTGCTGCCCTATCGGCCGTCAGTTCTGCGGGCCCTGCTCACAGCCACTTCAGCTTGCTAATCCGTTGGGCTATGTCAGTGACTTTAGTTCGTTTACGAATCTCCTCATTTCTGATTAAAGAGACACCGAGCATAGCCCGTTCCATAGCACGCTGTGCAACTTTGAGCATTAGGCGCCAAAAATTAGATGGCGCCGACTGCAACAGCGTAAATCGTATACCAATTAACTTGGATCATTCACCGCTCCGGCATTCACTCTTTCCGCTACAACAGAAAATGCCGCTAGAGCAGACGAGATAATAAATAAGCCTTTTTAATCTACAAAATGAAAAGTATTTCAGTGTCGGCGTTGGTTTTCTGAAAAAACATAATTATAGTACTTCGGTAAAAAACGATCTACTCGTACAAAATATTATCGGAGCCAAAGTATCGTGTAAGAACGAAAACAGTCACAAGTCTTACTATAATAAAATTTGTATTCTGTTCCCGTCAAGCAAAGACAGACGCTAGGCTAAAGAACGTCACGTCTATCTACTTGATAAAGAGATTAGATTTTTGCTCCCTAGTGACCTGGCTGATCTTGGTCTGCATGACATGGGGGTTGGGAGGAAGAAAGCGGGATGAACGAGTTCAATGAAAGAAATCTATCTGAGCAGTTAGATAATAGAATCAATGAGCTGTTACACTGACCTCTATATTAGACGGCTCGGTCTGATTAGCAGTTTCCAAGATAATTTAATCACTGGGAACCCTCGATTTATATTAATCCATCGCACGCTTCGCGAAAGCAAAACTATCAAATTATGAACAATTTTGTTAAGAGGAAAAACTGCACATTCGAAATACCTAATTGACGCGTTCAATTATTCTAAAACACGTGTTCAGTGTTACTGTTCGGTACCGTAGAAACAAATCGTGCGTGCAGTCTATAAAACACTTTCCCAAAGCGATATTGGAGAGACGGCTGAACGATATTGCAGAAATAGAATATTAGTTTCTCTAAAAATATATCCATTCGGGCTTCGGAAGCGGCGGTTTAAACGAACATCACCTGGTGAAATGCCGAAGCGCTGGGAACACGAAATCGGTCGACGAACCGGTAAATCTGGGGCACGAAAGCATATTGCCTGAAAATTTTACCCACAAATGCTTCAGCAATTTGCTAGAAAAACATGCCCTATTTCTACGACCTTTTTACTGTATTTGCGCAGGACGCCTGATTTATAAGGAAGGTAAACCACGTTGATGTTATCCATTTCACTTCTATTAGTGCTTCATCACCGTACTACGTAACTAGGGAGAGATCAGCGAAAGAGCGTAAAACGACACGCCACACAATTGGACCAGCGGTCATTGATTCACGCATCGGGCTTTAAATGTTGCATTCGTGGAAGTGAACCCATTCGGTTACATCTACATACATGAGCTCAGCAAAAGGTGTCCGACTGTCCGAGCGGTATAAAGATTCCGGTTCTAATTAAAGCGAAGTGAATCAGCGACCCGCTCGCTGTTAATTTGACTAAAATTCGCATTACGTCTAACGGATCATGTTTAGACGTCTGTCTGCAATATTTAATTACTACAATCGTACTTCGACCCTCATTATTTTAACAGTAACGTAGAGTTATTAACGTTGACTTTAATAATATAACTCATGATGGTGTTGGTATCCATTAAATAAGAATACGTTTTATGTATCAGTGCAGCAAGCTGTAATCTAGTCGGTATTAAAATATGTCTCATTTATAGCGTAATTTCGATATGAAGTTTATGGGCGCATTAAAGGGTATATCTTACACAACCTCGATGTGACCCATTTCTTCAGCGATACAGTGTTAATCTTGTACATCAATATCCGGAAAGAACGAACGCACGAGTTTCATGACACAGTTAAATTCTTTAGCATGGGCGTTATGTTCCTTTGATTCAATATTGTC